TAAATTGAGATCCCTTCCCTTTATAACTCACCGTATCCTCCGCCATTCCCAAGTCAAGTGTCGTATATACTGACCCAATAGCCTAAAAAACTAAAGCCAATCAACAATTTTAAGCATCATTTTCGTTCTCAGTGACCCAGAATTAGTAAAGTTTGACTACATTTATTTCAGAAGCATTTTGGCTGTAGAGCAGTGTATCACTATGAAGAATATTCGGTGCAGTGATACAGTCATCACTGTAGGGTCTTTTGGAAGGAAGTCCCCTTCTGAAGGTGTGACCTTGTCTTTCACTGGTGAAGATACTACTGCGCCAATCTTAGGGCTGGTCCACACTAACCCCCCAGTTCGAACTAAGATACGCAACTTCAGCTACGTGAATAACGTAGCTGAAGTCGAAGTACCTTAGTTCGATCTACCAGGTACTTACCGTGGGTCCACATGCGGCAGGCAGGCTCCCCCGTCGACGCCGCGTAATCCTCTCGCGGAGCAGGAGTACCGGCGTCGACGGCGAGCACTTCCGGGATCGATTTATCGCGTCTAGACAAGACGCGATAAATTGATCCTAGAAGATCGATTGCTTACCGCCGAACCCAGAGGTAGGTATAGACGTACCCTTAGACTCCCAAACCATATTGTGGTTTAATCAAGTGTCCTCATTTGGCTCTTATGATAACCTCAAAAGAAGCAACAATGGAAAACATGCATCACAATAATGCTCACAAGGAGAGATATTGTATTGACATTAAATAAGTTCCTTGCAGGCCACTGACTGATATCCTGTCTTTGAAAAGTCTTGTAGGTTGTTGCTGGTGTGGGTTTTTGTTTGTTTGTTTTCTATGTGTGGTACTTCTTCCCCTGACCATTTACAGGAGGGGATGTAGTATATTATTCATCCTGGTCTGGGGACCACACACCAGAGGAGGAGTACTGACACATATACACAATGTGAAAATGTCTTGTTAGCTGTCCCTGCGATCCTGAAAGGCTGCCTGCCTGCTACCCCAGGCTGGCTAGCACCCAAGTAAGTGCTGTAGGCGCAGTCTAGTACCACTTGGAGCTTTGATCAGGAAATCAGGATCATTCTGAAAATGGGAAGGATTTCTCACTTACCCCTTTGTAATCCCACGAAGGTGCAGTTTTATGGCGAGTGGAATCCTCAAATGCCTCTGTTTTGGTCACAGGCTCCCTGAAGTGCACAAAGCTTTAACATTGAGCCAGCCTTTTCCTTTTTTGGGACCCAGAGTCTCTGGGGTTTGCGTTATACCATAATGGTACCTATAGTACCATTAGAATCCCCCGATTCACAGTCCGAGGAAGGGGAGCTGTGTAGGAGCCCTGCTTCTCTCCCCAGGGATTCAAGGACCCACTTTCGGACTTGTGGGAGGGGACCAGTAGCCCAGAAAGGGTCTCTTCTTTATGGTTCTTTGTTGTCGCAGGACTTACCTCAGTTGTCTGGATAAAGTCCTCCTCATCCTCAGAGCCTCTCCCTCTTCTGCTCTCTCTCTCCTTGTTGGGTTTTTCTGCAGTGAAGTCGCAGCTACTTGGGGGGTGGGGGATAGAGGTCCCAACCTGCCTGTCTGACTTAGAGCCCTGTGCCCTTGCAGAGATAGGGTCAGCTGGCTGGCTGCCTGGTGCTTGCATGGCTGCTCTGCCAGGCCTGACAGGGGGCAGAGGAGCTCAGTGGGATGCATGCAGCAGAGGTGACAGATGGCTATGATCACTATGCTCCCAGATGCTGGTACTTGCATAGCTGCTGTGTCATGCCTTGAAAGGTGGCAGATGAGCTTGGCAGGGAGGTGCTACAGTGAGGCTTGAAAACAATTTAACCACTCAAAACAACAAATCTACAAGAAAAGGATGGGAGCGAAGCAAACCACCATTTGACTGCTGTCACGGAGACAGAAGATCTAGCACCAAGCAGGAAAACGGGGTGTGGCTAGCACAGGCTGTGCTGCAGTTTATGGAAACTTTGGACAGGAGAGGAATAGCCCATTCATATCAGAATTGTGGGAGACACTGGGTAGCAGAAAGAGGGACTGAAAATGGCAAGAGGGGGAGAAGAGGAGGCCAGAATGGAGAAAAAGCTCACATCCTAGCTGACAGGTCAATACTTAGGAAAGTGGTAAAAGATTCAGTTGGATTCTTTGTATTTTTAAATTGTTGGAATGAGGTTCATTTTACTTAACTGTCCAATTGTAAAGTTAATGCAAAGTAGACAAAACGAATGGGAAAGAACTGAGATTTACACAGCTTAGTATGTATTTGAGAAGCGTTTCTTATTCTGCATCTTTTTCACAGTTCTCAAGTTGTCTTTGGTTAGAAATCTGAAGACTGAAGCAACATATGTAAACAAATGAAAAGTCATCACAATCAGTTTAATGAAGTGCACAGAATAGCGATTGATCATGTCAATAAAAATAAAACAATTAATTTTACATCAAGTGTGCTTTATTTCCTCCACAGGTATTCTGTTAAATAAAGCACCATATAGATACTGCCAGGCCACAGCTAAAGAGGATTCTTTACAGAATCAAATTTCTTGTGGTTGTTTAGTATACAAGTAAACTTAATTTTGATAATAAGAACCACAGCGATCTGAGGCAATCTGCCTCTATTATAAGGTACAAAACTGGCACAGAGGACACCATATTATACACAGTAAAAATGCCATAAGTTTAAATTACATCAT